TGTTTCTCAACTTTGGCCACTTGAAGATGTCCGGACTTCAACTCCCAGAATTCCCCAGCCAGCGAATCACTGTCCTAACCACTGCTGGGGGATTCTGGGAGTTGAAGTCCGGACATCTTCAAGTNGGCACGGGGGGAAAAGGGGGCTTAGGCCTGGTCCTCACACTTACGACCATTACGACAATCCCATGGTCACTTAATAAAAATCCAGGCTCTTGGAACCAGCATATATTAACAAGAGTTGCAACGTCCCAGAATCAGCAGAAAGCAAATTTTGCAAACCTCCCAGCTGGCCTGCAACAAGCAAAGTCAATGGGAGGAAGTTGGATTCGTTTAGCGACCACGCGATTCGCTTAACGACTGCGGTGATTCGGTTAGCAACCGTGGCAAAAAAAAGGGCGATAAAATCAGACGTGACTCACTTTGCAACTGCCTTGCTTAGCCATGGAAATTCCAGTCTCCCCCCCCCCCATCTTGCAGGGGGCTACCTGTGTCCACCTATTTAAGTTGGTTGCTTTAAAAGAGGCAGACTCCAGACAGCGAGCCCTTTGGCAAGCTGACCTCTGCGTTCCTCTGCGGGGTCACAGAGCCTCTTTATGGCTCCTCACCAGGAAAGATGAGTCGGCAGCCACGTCCCTCTCAAACTCAGCGATGCAGAAATAAAACTGACGGGGGAGAATTCTTCATTTTCCGATCTGGATCGCAAGACTCTTTTGGCTGAAAGGTTTGGTCTCCCGCTGGGTCCCTTCCACACCGTAGCCCATCAAGGGAAGTTCACTGAGGCCGGCAGTTGGGCAAGTGGTCAAGAGGCCATCGGATCGAACTTTGGAATTTGCCACCCCAGGTTGGGCGCTGGCTGGTCTGGCTTCCAACCAGAGGAACAGAGTCGGGAGGGACCTCCGAGGTCCTCTAGTCCACCCCTCTTCTCAGGCAGGTGAACCTGTGCCTGGGATGGCAAGCCTTGGCAGCTTTAAGACTTCCGGACTTTAGCAGGTTTAACATGTCTGGCTGGGCACTTCTGGGACTGGCAGACTTCAAAGTTGCCAACGTTGGACATCTCTGCCTGATGCCATCCAAGACAAATGGTTGACCTTCTCTTCTTGAAAACCTCCAGGGGTGGAGAAGGAAGGAAGGAGGGAGGAAGGGAGGAGGGAAGGAAGATAGGAAGGGAGGGAGGGAGGGAGGGAGGGAGGGAGGAAGGAAGGAAGGAAGGAAGGAAGAGCAGAATAACAATAACAGAACAACAGAGTTGGAAGGGACCTTAGAGGTCTTCTAGTCCAACCCTCTGTTCAAGCTGGAGACCCTATACCATTTGAGACAGATGGCAGTCCAGTCTTTTCTTGAAAACTTCCAGGGATGGAGAAGGAATGAGGGAGGGAGGGAGGGAGGGAGGGAGTGAAGGAAGGAAGGAAGGAAGGGCAGAATAACAATAACAGAACAACAGAGTTGGNTTTACAATTAAGCAGCAGACAGAATTACAAAAAGGACCACATTTCAAAAGGTGAAACATTTATCAAGAGATTTGGCAGCCCCCTCCCCTTAGGACACCCATAGAGGGCTAAGCCAGGGGGGGGGATGCGCAGCCTGTGGCGCTAACTTTGAAATAAACCGGAACTCAAGTCAGTCTATCCGTTGTTACAAGGCTTTTGTAACCACGACTTTCCACCGAGTTGATGGGGAGCTACGCGAGCAGCTGTTACAACAGGGCTTCCCAAACTTGGCGGCAATTAGTGCAAATTTTGTAAAAAAAGTGGTTTTTTTATTTTCCTTTAGATAATGACACACACAAGGAGGGCTGCCCAATTGCAACGGATGTTGGAAATTAGCTTAAAGGGGTTTTTTAACCATGCATGGCTGGAGGGAACCAAGACAAGCTGGTTTATAAGCCACAGTTGGTTAGAAGAGACCCCTGACTCCGTGCCTGCCCACCCACTCCCCCAAAAGGATCTTTCAAAGCAACAGATGGTTCTTGGGGGGTGGGGGGGGGAGGACAGGGTGGACCTGAGGTTGCAAACCAGGATCCCAAAAGCCATCTGCTTCCCTCCTACGTCTCTCCACTCTGCCTCCCACCCCAAATATTTCGTCAGAAGCCATGTCAGTTACGGAAAATCCTGTTGGGGAGGGACCTCCAGAGAACATTCTGTACCATGTCTGTAAAGGGGGGGTGGGGAGACAGACTACAATCAATGCCCTTTTAAGGAGAAACCAGGATGCCCCAGGAAACTAGGATAGTTGGTCTCTTTCTAATTTTGCATCCTTGGAAAATGCCAGCTTTTTAATGGCATGGAGGGGTGGAGCTGGCGAGGATTGGGGGGGGGGGCAGAGAAGGCTGGAAAAGGGAGGGGAAGGGAGGGACCAAGCACCGGCTCTCTGGGGAACCCACCCACCCACCCACCCCCTGGCCAGCGCTATCTTGAGTGGGCCGATCCGTGTCTCTCTCTGCCCTTTGTGGTTAGTTGAACAGGGTTCAATCTTTTGCTCCAGTTTGATGATGCAATCGTCCCAGATGACATGAGAGTTTGTTGTGTGTTACAATTTTCTTGAGAAAAGGGGGACTGATAAGAAAACCATTCAGCCCGGATACGGATACACCAGGGGGAAGTCCCACCGCTGCTGCTCCGTTGCGTGGCTCATTCCAACAACGTGGCCTTTTCGGTCCTTGCCATATGTTCGCAGGGCTCACTAGCCGAGCTCAGCCCGAAATGCAAAGCATGGGACGTTTTATTTGTACTGGCTGAGACACAAAAGGCTCATTCACACACACAAACACACACACACATTCATTCATATACCCAGCCACATTGGGGGGTGGGGGGTTCGTTCCCCAAAGTGAGCATCGCACACAGGAGAACGTGGCCGCAATCCAGGCCGCCAGGCTGCAGGACATCCATGCCCCCCATCTTCTAGTTGGGGAGCAACCTTTCCTCCCCTGCCAGATGTTTGCAGGAAGCAAATCCCCCCCAAAACATCTGGGGAGCCTTGAAGATGGCCGTCCATGGAGGCTGTCAATCATCCAGGTCATAAGTCAGAAGGTCCTTTTCCAAAAGGCAACTGTANGAGCTTACTCAATGCACTGAATACAACTCGGCGCCTTTTTCTGTTTACTGGGGAAAAAAAATATGTCTGCAAATCTGAAACTATTTGCTTTTCGGTTCTTGAAATAACCCCCCTCATAAATGAGACCTTTTTTTTAAGGCAGGTTTCGGGAAGAGGAGGAAAGAGATCTTAAGACTAGAGAGAGAGAGAGAGAGAAACAAAGACCGGCCGACTTCCCCATTGGCAAAGACACTCAACAACAGGGAAATGTTGCATCAGATTTGGCGGAAAAATCCATCCCCTTGCAACGCCCATTTTGCAAAAAAAAAAAAAAACGGTCAGAAAGAGGGGGAGAAAAATGGGTTGCAGGTGAAGGATTTCATTCAGGGCATCGATCGGCACTTTAGCTAAATCTTCCCTGCCTCTCGAGGCTTTTTAAAAAAGCCGTTTCTCTCCCTGCAGCAGACGTCAACAGGACAGATATATATAAATCACATTTTCCATGATGTTAAACTTGGAAATTCTGAGCTTTTGTCGTAAGCAGGTGAAGCCGAAGGGCCTCGTGGCCGTGAGCTGTCTTAAAGGGGAAGGAAACTGGGTAGGTGGGAGTCTGTATAATGAATCCTCCTGGACTTTTTAAAAAAAAAAGAAAATATTTGCAATGACCAGAGTTAAGTAAAAAAAAAAAAGGAGAGCAAATTCTTAAGGATATATCCCTGCCCATACAACACAGTACGAGCACTTTTATTTAAGGTATTATTGAGCCAGAAAAAAACCCTGAATTACAAAAGCTACCTGGTGCAGGTGTAAAAAATAATCTTGACTTTGAAGGGTGCAGATTATCAAGGTAAAGAAGCAATAACTGAATGCTCTAAATCAGTGATTAACCTTTTCTGCACCCAGTGCCCACATCGGAACACCTCTGCATACATGTGTCTATCCCGGAGTAACGACCAGCTAACCGGTGAACCCCATGCCTGTTATGGGGTAGTTTTTCAGGCTGGTTTTGTCCCCAAAAACCATCCTAAAATGGCCAGGGTTTTGGGGCTGTTTTCAGCACTCCGGTGCTTGCAAAAACCATGTGCGTGCCAAAATCTAGAAAAGCAGCTGGTGGCGGCGCGTGTGTGCCCAGAGAGGGGGGTCTATGTGCCATCTCTGGCACGCACGCCATAGGTTTGCCGATTCTAAACGATGCTCTAAAAAGGAAGCCTTTTTCTCCAAGGTTTAGCCTTGCTGGCATTTTGCAAACTAAGACGCCTGTCTAACCCTCTGCCTTCGCTTCCATTCCTCAGAAGCTCTGGGGGGGAAACTGTACAGGCTCTTTCCAAGCCATTATTCCGAATCCCAGAATTCTCAGCTGGCTAGGGAATTTGTATCTACCTATCCCTGAGGCCAAAGGTGTTCCAGGGAGACGGGGTGGATGACTCAAGTGAACGGCGGCTTGCAAACTGTGGTTTCTGGGGGAAAATCGGAGTGCTTTTCGTTGGTTGCTAATTGGGCTTTTAGAGCTATTTTTTTTCCAAGACGCTTGAAGCCCGGGATACATCAAGTGCCAAGCTGCAAGTCCTGGCATCTCTCAAACCCAGCACCAGAGTTTAAAATTTCGCTGGAAGATGTATAAGTCATCACCCACATCAGGGGTTTTTTTTCTGCCTCCAGGGACAGCCAAGTGTGGCTACCTCTGTTAACAACACCAGGAGAAATCCAGAAAGATGCTTAGATGGAGCAGTGTTTCTCAAAGTTGGCGGCTTGAAGATGGGGGCGAATTTCAAGTCCCAGAATTCCCCAGCCAGCAAAGCTGGCTGGGGGAATCCTGGGAGTTGAAGTCCCCCCAGGCTTCAAGTTCCCAAGGTTGCAGACCCCCTGATCGAAAAGGGGAAGCCGGTCACGCACTCGCCCGCCCTGGGAGAAGCCTTTTACGCCGAGGTTCAGCCTCGCTGGCCTCCGCCCTCTCTCTCTCTCTCACCTGATCAGGTCGAGGAAGGAGTCGACCACCTCCTTCCGCGGGGGCAGCCCGTCCGTGCCGCCGTACTTGTCCAGTTTAGGGTCGGCGGCGCCGGCGCCGGGCTGGATGGCGAAGGCCAGCCCGACGCCCAGGGAGGAAGCCATCAGGGTGGTCAGGAGGAAGAAGAGCATGGCCCAGCCGCCCAGCTTGCCCAGCACGGCCGGGTCGAGGCTGGCGGCGCCGGCTACCAGGCTGCAGACCACCAGCGGCAGAATGATCATCTTCAGCAGCCGCAGCAGCAGCTCCCCCGGGAAGGAGTAGAGCTGCACCTCGGCCTCGCTCAGCCCGCCCGGACGCCGCACCGCCAGCCCCAGCGCCACGCCGGCCACCACGCCCGACACCGTCAGAAGCACCAGCAGGTTGGACCGCAGGAAGCCCCGCAGGCGGGAGAGCCGGCTGGACCCCCCGGCCATCGCCACCGTCGCCCCCCTCGCCTCCGGCCCGATGTCCCCGTTGGAAGCGCCCTTGCTGGCCGTCATGGTCCTCGGAGGCTCTCCGGCAAAGGGAAGCTGTGGGCGCACGTGGCTCCGGCTCCCGGCTGCTGCTGTTGCTGCAACGCCCGTCCCGTCCAGGCGCCGCCGCCTTCTGCGCCTCCCGCGCGCGCCCGCCTGCCTTTTATAGCCTTGGGAGGGGGGAGGCGGGAGAGGGGGGTCTCTCTGGATTGGCTGCGGCGAGAGTCCGCTCCGCTGGGGGTTGGAAGGAGACGCGGGGCGGGGAGGGGCTTGGCGGGAGGGGCGGTTGCGTCAGCCCTGCAGCGTGTGCGGCTCCCGGGTGCGGCTCCGGAGGGGGGGGGGAAAGGCATGGGGAGGGGGGGGTTGTGGAGCCTCACCTGAGTCCCAGGTGCGCTCAGCAACAGGTCCCATCAATCCCATCCAGAGGGAGCCCAGCCCTAAGCAGGGATAGGCGTGGGGCTTGAGAACAGCCACGGGGGCACCGGCATTCTGGAGGGCACCAACCTCTAGTCTCCCAGAGGGTGTGTAGACTACAACCTCCCTCATCCCCTGCCAGGACACTTGGAGGGCACCAACTGGGGACTCCAGTCTTCCAGAGAGGAAGACTACATCATCCCTCATCCCCTGCCAGGACATCAACATGTGACAGCTGGGGACGCTGGTCCTCCATAGGTGTGGACTACAACCTCCCTCCTCCCCTGCCAGGACACTTGGAGGACACCTACTGGGGACTCCAGTCTTCCAGAGAGGAAGACTACATCATCCCTCATCCCCTGCCAGGGCATCGACATGTGACAGCTGGGGACGCTGGTCCTCCATAGGTGTGGACTACAACATCCCTCCTCCCCT